TCATGCTGGTTGTCTGAAGGAAACACCTTACTGCTGTCACACCTCTGTACAGTCAGCAGTACGACTTCGCCTTCGGACCTTGGGTTTGTTGCTTTTAGTCTTACCGCTCTTCAACCGACCTGTCTGACATGGTAGGACCTTGAGGAACGGTTGTTCCAGCCAGTATAGCTCGGTTGCTTCATCACGATAGGCAAGCCTGACCACCACGTCAAGGTAGCAACAACGGTCGGGTCCTCATTGATTAATCCTATAAAAAGTTATCTGCTTCAGCTCTCAGTATAGTTACAAATTTGTGTGTGATTTACTGTAACGTACTTGTATGTATAACTCCGCCTGGAGCCCCTCTGGGGCTACTGCCGGTCACAAGCCCGGATAAAGTAGGAGAGCTGGGTAGGGGTTATCGCCCCCATCCCGTAGAAAGCTAACTCGCTAAAAACACGCTTACCAGAAAAAAAATTATTAAAATCATTTAAACTCTGCCCTGGAAGTTAAGTTTTCATTTAGAAGAGTTATGACGCCCCATGGTGAAAGCCGAGTACCTTCGGAATTCACGAGGCTGATGCCCCTTCCGACAACCAGAGCAACCGATTATTTAGGTACATGGAATGCTCGTACGATGTGGGAGACCGGGAGAGTCTTCCAAATTGCCTCACTTGTATGTATATTATATGTAAACGTTGAATTATGTATAAGGTTTTCATAGGATAGTTAATGTATACAAGTCAAAATTCATTTAACCATTATATCGTTCTGAAGGTTATTCTCATAACGAAAAGATCAAATTTAGAGATAAGTTTTTTTAAAAACAAAAATCGAACCATCTAGATTATCCAACAACTGAACAACATATTTTCCTAGCTTATCTAGATTATAGTAATGCACTAATCAATGAACATTCATAACAATGTATTGAATGATTTACCCTTTTCCTACACATACATGATGTGTTAGAGTGAACATAATTACTGAAAACGTGTGGTACAATGAATTCATGTTAGTTCGTGAATTGCCATCATTCGCCTATATTTGTATGTAGTTTGAAGAAAAACATCAAAAACACTACTTAAAAACCACATCTGCTGTAAAGTTTCATGCTGTTATGTAACTACAAACTGACGTCAGACACGCTGTCGAAGAGTCATTCATTCTGACTCGCGTTTTATGCAGTGAATTGACATAAAACCAGTAAATACTTATCAGAGGTTGGTATTTTTAATAATCAGTTCTGCATTTTATTAATAATTACTCAAGGAGAGAAAAAAAACTAGAGGAATAATTTTCATATGTTCACTTCACTGGATAATTGTTCTAGATTTAACTAAACAGGTTTATTATTATAAGAAAAGATGGATAGTGGACAGTAGTGGAATCCAGGACGCGCGTTTCGTTTATTTGGAATTCTTCAGCTGGATGTATATGCATCTCAGAGTTGGTTACACTACTAATCACCATCCATCTTTGCTTATAATGCATGTGACTCAAGGCAATACGCACAGCATGCACATACGCCAATGAGAGACTGATTAATTGAAATCCTAAAGATCAATTGGAAGATTTAGACAAAGAATGCAAAAATGAATTAAGGTTTATTATTAATAATAATGGTGATGAAGAGATGGGAATCAAGGGAAAATTTAGTGCACAATTTTATAGAAATTCGCGATCAATTGTATCCATAAACTTGGAAGAATTAACAACAGATTGACTAATCGAGTATATCGACAACTGGTAAACTGAGTTGAAATTACACAGAATATTTAAACACAATTTTGATTTTTCACAGTTTTTTGAAATCATGAGTCAGTTGAAGCTAGACCACCATTGAAAACCTGGAAGCACTGGACGGCCGTTTCGTCCTGGTATGGGACTCCTCAGCAGTGCGCATCCACGATCCCGCACCACGCGGGGCTCGAACCCAGGACCTACTGGCTTCGCGCGCGAGCACTTAACCACTAGACCACTGAGGAGTCCCATACCAGGACGAAACGGCCGTCCAGTGCTTCCAGGTTTTCAATGGTGGTCTAGCTTCAACTGACTCATGATTTCAAAAAACTGTGAAAAATTCTAAAATTCTCCACAAAACCCATTCTGACAATTTTGATTGTTGGATAGTAGGAGGTATTTGGTGCAAGGTCATAGATCTAGATTTTGTGAGAGCTCAAACTTATTATTTAATTAAATATGTATTTCTGATCGATTGGATTAAATATATCAACCCAAATGACATTAGTATCAACCCGAATACCTTGATGTTGGCGCTGCTGAAACAACAATGATGGCATCCGTTCGAAACCTACTTGGAAAATCAATTCCCACTAGGATGAAAAAATACCTAGCTGGTAATGTGAATCATCACAAAAAATAGTTGTAGTACTCCAACTACCTGCTTCCTCTGAACAACACACACATTATGTCTTTCCATCAGACAGAAAACATCTTTAAAACGACAGTTTGAATTAGTTGACAAATTACAACAAATGACTAGAGATTGGAGGTAATGTTGTCGGTGAAGTATTCAGCAGACGTTCACCGTGTCCAAGTATTACACCCAACTATTGTAACTGGAACAAAATACTTTTGCTGCTAAACTGAATAAGGCTGATATGGTTTGATGTAAGGAAAAATGTGATACTACAAACGAAGATTTTATTATGTACTAATAATAAGTCCACAACTGATTCAATAGCCAAATTATCACTAACTAATAAACTTCGTTAACTGGTTTAGCCATTTTCATATATACATATTAGTGTTTCTGCATATAAAAGGTTGATGAAAGTCTAATTGAAAACAATATGTTTTCTTATATGTTGATCGGATTTTCAAGGATTGAACTGGAAGCCGTGAACATAAACCATTAATAATTCAATGTGTATACAATTTACAACGTTAACTGACTAAACAGCGTTAACTAACAATTATAGCTAAATTATCGGGTAATATATCTGCTCCTTGCAAACATCTACTTCACGATCATTCAGTTTCAAAAACTAGAAATAAAGACAACTTCAGTGATTTTTCCTTTTACATGTAAAACTATCAATTTAGCTGATCCAGACGTGCTATGAGAATCAGTAACAAAATCCGTACAACTACTATTTCAAGTTGCAAACTCCTTGCTTCGCGTATAGAGAAAAGACAATTAAGTCAATTTAATTTACTATACACAGGTAACCCAAGTAAAGCTTTTTGAGTTATTTAAAGGAGGCTATGTATTTCACTGTATGGTTTCTATATATGTATACTGAATCAATTTTAGCAAGCTAAATCTTTGAGTTCAACAAAAATTAAACCATAAGTCTTCACGATCTCCGCCAAGAATACTGATTAACCTTTCATCTAATACTTCATTCAATAAACTATATACAGTTAATATAAACTTGTCATTCGCTTCATTTTTCAGCTATCGCTCCTATTTTCCAACGTAACTGTTGATAACACTATAATCATTTGTAGGCTGCCTGACTGTAAAATGGTAAGCATTAAATGATTTATTAAATAATACTTCTGAATAACATGTTGCTTGACTTTATCTTGGATATATTTCTTTTACCATTAATGATACAAATAACTCTGAATTCGTAATATTGTTGTGTATTGATTTCAGGTGGCTAGAGGTAGTCGGTGCTTGTCGGTAGAGTATATCTGTAATCTTAGAGGAACCGGTGCTCCCTAACAGATCTGAATGTGGATCACCTAGTTTAACAGTCTGAAATGTTAACACTAAGCCATCTGAGTGGTGAGTGATTTCCTGTAGAACTCAGATATTTACACTAATTGATCACAGTAATGACCAATTTCAAGTTTATCTAGTCCTTTAGTACTGATCAAATTGTAGTGCGGTCACCGATCTAAGTAACTCAAGATCACATGTACCGCTATGTAATTTATCCCCTAATATGAATGATATTGGATTTAGTAGAATGATAAAATCTATAAGTTACACTCAAGTCATTATAATAAGCAAGTTGAAAACAGGTAATTATTCATATGCAATTCTATCGTTTTAAGTTTGTGCATAGACATTAAAACAACCATGTTTAATTCGTCTTTCATGACAAAAATACAAATAATCCATATTTCTGAATAGATTAATTTTAAGTGAGTGATAACAATAACTCATTGGTTTACTAAAAAGGTTATTACTACTTAAATTTCAATAATTAAGTAGTCCTTACTCTTGACTATATATATATATATATATATATATATATATATATATATATATATATCTTTTGTAGAAAATAAATGGTTTTGGAAAAGAAACTGTAGTAAAACTTAACTCAAGAAAATACTATCATTTAATCCTAGAATCAAATTCAGAGTTTATGTATGTCATATGGAACTACTGAATAGATTGTTTATGGTTAACATTCATTACGTGGTAGTTTACAAAGTTTTCTTACATCAGATGAGTTATTATCTTTTAAAACGTTTTCTTAACAATAGTTGAATAAGTCACACTGTATCAAAAGATAGTTTAGATATTAGTACAGAGGTAGTGCAAAGATTCGTAAGTTTAAAGTTAGACATCACGGATTGTCATTGGTAGGAGAGTCAATGTAAATCAGATAGAGAGTTCTCAACTGTTGTTTGTCCTATTTTGATACTAAGTAAAAGTGTGAAACCTTCATTAGACGTTAAATCGATCTGACGACCTTTGAATACTCATGAAAAACAATCCAAATTATCTTCACTTCTAAATTCAGTTAATTATCAAACTGAGCAAGCATAATTAACTAATGTCATCTTAGATAACTATTTCGTATCTGACATGGTTGAATGCTACCATCTTCCGTTTTTCATTTGAGACTTAAAATTAGCCTACTCACTGAAAGATCTGAAAATCTTAGGTTTGATAAAAAAAACAGAATTGTGAGTGAGCTCTGTTGCATAGTGGTAACCTAGCAGGTTCCTGTTCCTGGATTTTCAGTCGGTTAGTTCATGATGTGGACAACTACGAAACGTTTACTTAAAGTAATGTTTGTCTACTTATTCTATCAACAAATCATTGTAACTTCAGAATAAACATCTTTTTTTAAAAACTTACTAGTCATTGTTGTAAACGCTAAGTTCGATTCCATTGAATCACTATTTCCATTCACTGTAGGATCAAGCCAATATATACATGAATATTCAGCAAGACGATTAGCACAATAAGTTAATAGATCTTTTTCAAAATAACCAGTTCTTAAAAATTGAAATAAACTCATATTTAATGTTAGAGGTTTGATCATTTGTGGACCATCTTGAACCATATTTATACCACCAGCTTTAATTCGTGCACTTCCTCTGACCATTTTATTATTTCAGATACAATTATTTATAATTATATTATGCAATATGAGAAAAAAGATAACTCCTCTAATTTAATTTTCATAAACGAAGTCTTATCATGTTCATCTTAAACTGTTGAATAATTTTTTTAACTCTTTTATCATAAAGTATATTTTCACATTCAATGATCAAAGTATTTAAATCATATTCAACTTAAATTTTGATTGGTTAATAGATTGTTTTTTTTGTTTTCGAACAGGGGTTAGATAGACAAACACACACATCCAACATATAAAATCTAAATTTTTGTGTTTGTTTTCTATGCTTTGATTTTTAACTGACCAATTAGAAAGTTCTACTAGCAATGAGACATCGGTCAATTTGTAGTCATAGTAATCAGAACTTTTACTCAAATGTGGTAATCTTTAAATCATAATCAGAAAATTAGTTTATTTAAATGAAATTCTATTAAAATCTAACAGAAGATCATTTGAACTATCATAAAATAAAAGGATGATTATTATTAGAAAAGGATTTGAAGCTAGACGACCATGGAAAATTTGAAAGCACTAGACTGTCGTTTCGTCCTAGTATGCACATTACTGAGGAGTCCTATACTAGGATGAAATGACCGCCCAGTTCTTCCATGTTTTTCAGTGGTCTAGCTTCAACTGACTCATAATCTCAACTATAAAATCAATAAAAGGATAAGTTAAAATGATCATGGTTAAAAATAAAATTATAAAAGGTCTAATTAGGAGTTGAAATTCTTTTTCTCAATATTTACCATGATAATAAACTGTATTCCTAATGTGATTGATAACACTAAATTTTAATTTACATATAGTACCGATTGTCGTTGCCTTACCAAAACAGAAGGAAAAAGTTAGAAGAAGGTGACTTTGAAAAAATAGCAGTAAGGTCTGAAACTAATATATTTAGAACTACCGACAAAAGAACCCAGTGTGACTGGCCAATAGTAGAAAATCCGAAAGATGGAGATATATGTTGTTGACTTCCCATTGTTTTTATATGTCCCTTCACTGAATCCAACTTAGATGGAGTGAAGATGAGTTTTACAAGAAGATTTCCTACCTCCTCTAAATAACCAAGTGCTTAGATATAATAATCCCGGTAAGTAATCTCAGCAACCGTTTTGATAGGCCAAATCAAGCTGAAAAACGATTAGATGGGTTTTTTAGCATCCCGGCACATAAAATGGTGACCAACTTCAGAACTAGCATTTCTATGAGTTCTACTGGACATAAAAATATTACGACAGAATGGTCTCTTAGATATTAAATCGAATAGGCGAACGTCGAGAATGAACTCAGTGATGAATCAACCAAGCATTCAGCCCAGTAGTGGGTGACGAAAGAAAAATACAATACGTTACACCAGACAAATGTTTAAACTCATCAACGAAAATGGCATTAGGAATTCAGGTATTAGTGAGACCGTTTTGGAGGAAGATAGAGCAATTATCCATTCTCAATCCAAGGAACTTAAAGGAGTGATAGGACATTAAGAAATAGCCGAACTATGTGTTACATGCTATCTCGAAACGACCTAAATAGGGATTCAACACAAGTTTACAACTCTTAGTGAAGATAGACTATATCTAACTTCAATTCAGGAAATGCAGCAGAATCTGATACACTGACTCCACTTGTCTTTGAGAATGTCGGTCCAGTTTTAGTAGTATAGCTAGAGCTTGAGAGAATCTCGGACAATAAGTCTCAGGATCAAACTCCTCTCCACCTACTTCCGTTTGGACAACCTAGTAATATCACTAGCTCTCACACAGTGTGGCTTATACTCAAGTACTGGTGAATGAGTTAATAAATCTCTGACAGTCCTAGTTTTTAAGAAAGCATTAAAATTCACTCATGACAATGATAGAGGAAATCCATTTGACTAATATAGTGCCTAAAATATCAGCCTCTATAATTATCTAGTGCTTGACAAAACCAACCTGCTCTCTGTCCTGAACGTGGATTTACTGATCAAATATTCAGCCTTCCTCAGCTTCTAGAATACAAGGATACTTACCGGCTTACAACTACGATTGTATTTTTGACCCTAAGACGGAATTTGACTTCGTTAACTAACAGGCTTTGTGACAGTGTTGTCATTAAAAAGCGTACCAAAGAAATATATCAATCTTGTAAAGGCTCTCTACTCTACCACTATTGGTTAAAATTTCGCCTATGGAAGACTATCATCTCCAGGACAGTCCTCTAGCCCTTTTAATTTGATTCCAACGTAGATGTCATCATAGAAAGATTAATTTCTTCTCTATTGATACAGATCTCAGTAGAATAAGGCTCCAACAAGTACGGAAGTAAAACGAAAATTCCTCCCTCGAATCTAGATGAAGTTCAGAAAGATATAACTAATCTAAAAACGAGGAAGAGCAGCTGGTCCAGAGGGACTGGCTCCAGAGGTCTTTAAGGATGGTGGTCCAATTTTAGCGATTAGGTTGACTGATATTTTAGCTAAGATCTGGGAGTTAGACGTTATTCCAGCTGACTGGTCACAATCACATATCGTCCCAATATATAAGAAAGGGTCAAAATCATCCTGTGACAACCACAGAGGGATTAGTTTAAGTAATATAGTATGTAAAATACTAGCCTCGATAATTATCAGACGCCTAACTAAGACTCTTGAACTGCAAACAAGAGAGAATCAAGCTGGCTTCAGACCTGGTCGTGGCTGCATCGACCACATATTCACCATTCGTCAGTTTCTAGAACACAGGCATACTTATCGACGTCCGACAATGGTGGTATTTCTTGACTTAAAAGCAGCATTTGACTCGGTAGACCGCGAGATTCTGTGGCAGTGTCTGTCACTGAAAGGCGTACCCCAGAAGAACATAAACCTTGTGAAGTCTTTTATTTGAACACTACCAGTCGAATCAGAGATTATGGCGAGCTGCCATCTACTTTTGCAACCTCAAGTGGTGTCTGTCAAGGCTGTCCACTTTCTCCATTTTTGTTTAACTTCATCATAGACCTATTGATGGAAATAACACTCTCGTCGACTGAATTCTCGGGTATTGATCTCCTACCAGGAGGTCCACTTATCGACCTAGAATACGCAGATGACATAGTCCTGTTTGGTGAAGACGCTGACAAAATGCAGAGTCTTCTGGTAGCACTAAGCAACAATGCCAGAATGTTTGGAATGCGCTTCTCTCGCTCTAAATGCAAGTTGTTGCTTCAGGACTGGTCTGCGTCAACACCTGAACTAAGGATAGGGAGTGAAGTAGTCGAACGCGTTGACAACTTCACTTATCTTGGAAGTCTGATCAGCCCTAATGGGTTGGCATCGGACGAAATCTCAGCACGGATTCGAAAAGTTCGTTTGGTTTTCGCCAACTTACGTCACCTTTGGCGAAGGCGAGATATTCGTCTATCAATAAAAGGACAAGTATACTGCGCGGCAGTTCATTCTGTTTTACTTTACGGCAGCGAAACATGGCCTTTAAGAGTAGAAAACACCCGTAAGCTACTAGTATTTGACCACAGATTCCTTAGAAATATTGCTGGCGTTTGGTGGGATCACCGGGTAAGTAATAGTGAGGTTAAACGCAGGGTATTAGGGAATGATGGTAAGTCAGTTGATGAGGTTGTGAATTTCCATCGACTGAGATGGTTGGGCTACGTGTTACCTATGCCTGAACACCGATTACCACGACGTGCAATGCTAACCGGTGTTCGGGATGGTTTGAAGAAAGTCAGGGTCGGCCAAACGAGAACGTGGCATCAGTGCTTGAAGTCACCAACTTCTAGTCTGGGCCATGTTGCTAGATGCAGACTACTTGGTTGGGGTCCGCGTGACTATCGTAACCAATGGTTGGAGACTCTTGGTAACATGGCTCAGAATCGATCACAATGGCGTAGGTGTATACACTCCCTGTCTTCCCTTAAACTAAGAGATTAAAATCAGGTGTTGACGCAGGCCAGTCCTGAAGCAACAACTTGCATTTAGAGCGAGAGAAGCGCATTCCAAACATTCTGGCATTGTTGCTTAGTGCTACCAGAAGACTCTGCATTTTGTCAGCGTCTTCACCAAACAGGACTATGTCATCTGCGTATTCTAAGTCGATAAGTGGACCTCCTGGAAGGAGATCAATACCCGAGAATTCAGTCGACGAGAGTGTTATTTCCATCAATAGGTCTATGATGAAGTTAAACAAAAATGGAGAAAGTGGACAGCCTTGACGGACACCACTTGAGGTTGCAAAAGTAGATGACAGTTCGCCATAAGCCCTGACTCGACTAGTAGTGTTCGAGTAAAGAGCCTTCACAAGGTTTATGTACTTCTGAGGTACGCCTTTCAATGACAGACACTGCCACAGAATCTCGCGGTCTACAGAGTCAAATGCTGCTTTTAAGTCAAGAAAGACCACCATCGTCGGACGCCGATAAGTATGCCTGTGTTCTAGAACCTGACGAATGGTGAATATGTGGTCGATGCAGCCACGACCAGGTCTAAAGCCAGCTTGGTTCTCTCGTGTTTGTAGTTCACGAGTCTTAGTTAGGCGTCTGATAATTATCGAGGCCAGTATTTTAGATACTATGTTTGTTAAACTAATCCCTCTGTGGTTGTCACAGGATGATTTTGACCCTTTCTTATATATTGGGACGATAAGTGATTGCGACCAGTCAGATGGGATAACGTCTAACTCCCAGATCTTAGCTAAAATATTAGTCAACCTAATCGCTAAAATTGGACCACCATCCTTAAAGACCTCTGGAGCCAATCCATCTGGACCAGCTGCCCTTCCTCGTTTCAGATTAACTATAGCCTTTGAACTTCAGCAAGAGTTGGGGGACCTACTTCAATGTTCCATTCACATTGTCTGGGAATGGAGGGTAGTTGTAGAGTAGCTGAAGGCCAGCTGAACTGTTCTCTAAAATGTTCCGCCCATCGTTCTAAACGTCTGGACTGGGAGCAGATGAGAGTATCGTCTTTTTCCGAAATAATCTCACTTACACTTGACTTATTAATT